ATTTTTTGTAAGCTACCCACGAGACTTATCAGTCTGTAATCCTTAGGGGTTTTGGCCTCCTTTTTTGGCACTAAAGCAATAAAAGTTGCATTTGCTCCAGGCGATAATTTCCCTTCTTGATAGAACTCCACAAATACATCTATTAATTCTTCTTTCAAAATTTCCCAACAATCTTGATAGAAAGCCATTGAAAATCCATCCGGCCCCGGTGCTTTAGATCTATCCATGAGAATATTGCTTCATGTATCTCCTCAATAGTGAAGGCTCTTTCTAGGAGGTTAACTTCGGATTCTGGCACTCTGTCCCACTATAAATCTCCCAATTCTGCCATGTTTTCATTAGAGGATGCTAGGATTGACTTAAAGCGATTCACAAAGCATCTTTCAATTTACTCTTTTGCAGTTATTACTCTTCCATCCACCTCTACACTGGAAATTTGGTTTTTCCGTCTTCTCCCGTTTGCTAAAGAGTGGAAAAAACTGGTATTTCCATCCCCTTCTAGAAGCCATTTACATTTAGATTTTTGCCTCCAAGAAATCTCTTCTTTTCTTAGAATCTCTTCCAATTGCACTTTTAAGTTCCATCTTTCTATTCTATCATCCACCCCACACTCTTTCCGGGCCTCCTTTTGGTCCACTTTCTCTATTTTCCTGGCTAATTCTTATGACCTCAAGTTTTCCAAATTCCTCTTCATTCCACTCCTTGACCTTTTCCTTCAATCTTTTCAGTTTCTTAGAGAATCTCACCACTTTATTTATAGCCCTAATCCCATCTTCTGACCACCATTCTTTTACCCTTTGCAAAAAGTTTTACTCGTGTCAACCGATATCAACACCAATAGATACCTATCTATTATCTATATAGCTAGAACCATTGGAATAATTTGTGAATTAAGTGAATTTTAAAATTGAATAAATAATAATAGAAAATTGAAAAATCAAAATTTTTAATTTCGAAAAAGAAACTCTCATGTCCGGTTCTGCAATAGAGATGGAATTGAGAAACAACCATCAACTATAACAGTTCATCACGGAAGAAAGGACTCACCGAGCCGGGATCACTAACTAATACTAATATAATAGAAAAKAACTGTCTTTTCTGTATACTTTCCCTGGTTCCGTTGCTACCGCGGGCCTTACGCAATCGATCGGATCATATAGATATCCCTTCAACACAACATAGGTCATCGAAAGGATCTCGGACGACCCACCAAAGCACGAAAGCCAGGATCTGTTTTCAAATCTAAAAGGTGTGGGGCCACCAATAAGATTTTCTTGGTAAAGGCTTAAAGGACAATGATCAAAAGTCACTCTAGGTAGGGCTTTTAGTGTCAAAGTGGCCCACAACTCTTTCCAATCAATGGAGAACAGGAATCTATCCAGTTTTGAGCACACTTGATTTTCTTGGATATTTGACCAGGTGAAAGAGGCTTGTAACAAGGTAGGCTCTTTTAGTTCTAGGGACTCAATCAGGGAATTGAAGTGTTTCATGCTAGATGTTAAGGGTTGGTTGGGGTTGTTTGTCTCATTTGTATATCTTATTACATTGAAATCCCCACCCAAACACCACGGACCCTCCCATATGCCTCTGATTACAGCTAGCTCTTCCCAGAATGAGTTCCTCTCTCTATATGAATTTGGCCCATACACATTAAGTCAACACCCACTCCCTTCCATCACTCATCCTCTTGGCTTTTATTGATACTGAATATTGTCCTATTAGTTCCTCCTGATAGTCAACTTCCTCATTCTTCCACATTGTAAGGATTCCACCCGAGGCACCCCACAACGGGGCAAAAGACCAACTTAGACCCCTGCAACTCCAGATACTTCTTATCCATCTTCTATCCAAGTCTGAAAGCTTTATCTCCTGTAACATGACTATAACCAGTCTCTCCTTTCATATCACATTCTTGATGATTCTCCTTTTCTTTGCACTTATTAAACCTCTTGCATTCCAGCAAAGCACTTTCGTTCCACTCTTTTTTCCCCAACCCTAACTCAATCCCAAATCCTATTCTCCTCTTTTCTTCTCCCTTTTCCTATTTACAGTCTTCTCATAGGACACACCACAAGCTAGCCTTTCCACCTCATTCATTATTCTCTTCCTTTTTTTATCATCTTCTACCCCCTTTCTAAGATAGACCTTTCCTTTGGCGAACTTCCTTTTGGCTTCCTTTTGTTCTTCTCCTTTTACTTTGGGTATCTCTCTACAGCCTTCTTCTCCCTCATCTAAATGGCAGTCTTCCTTTTCCTTCTCTTGGGTACCTGCAATACCTTCATTTCCCCCATCGTCCTTTTCCAAATCCATCACAATAAACAATTTCTCCTCATTGTCTTTTCCACCTCGCCCTCCTTTTTCTATTGCACATGGGTCATTATCCACTACCGGTGACGTTTCAAGAGCTGGAACTGCAAAATCCAAAGGCTGAAGGTTACTACAAGGATCAAATCAAATGAGTTTTGATGGTAAACTGGGGGCGAAGAAAGAACTGGATTGAGAGGAAGGGGGGAAGAGACTCCCTGATCTTGAATCTGGTTTTCACCGATTACTCCAAAGACAAACCCTGATGGTTTGGGTTCAGGTACAGTGTCCATTTGCGCAGCTGGGGGGAGCTGTTCCTCAAGTGGTTCCAAAGTCGGTTTGCAATGGATACCCGTCTCCACGAAACTGCCGTCCTGTCTTTGTTCTTGATTTGTATCTATTTTCTTCTCTCTCTCTATGAATCTCGTGTAGGCCTTCCASTTTCCGTAGTAAAGTTACCAACCCCCAATCCTGTATCTCCAGAATCTCCGTAACAGCATCTTCAGAGAAGAGCAGTTCAGTTCCGAAAGCTTCAGAGTCTAAAAATTTGCAGGTCTTTGTCGAGTTGATGCTACCAATACTTGACAGCAGATCACCATCGTCTTCTTCCACATCTCTTAACGTCTCTCAATCTGAGTCATCTTCAGAGTCTCCTTGCGAGACCCTATTGTAGCGAGGGTTCGGCTTCTCAGGTGTCGTGGAGTTATCTTCAGTCGCCGGCCTCCATTGCAGCTTCAACCTAGTCGCCGAAGTCTTTCCCGCAGCCGGAGGAAGAGGGAGGGGGGGTTTCTGATCACCGTTCCTGTTTGGGGACGTGTTGAGCGGATAAGCGCACTTGGGGGCGATGATAGACCACAATCATCGTCCCCCATCGGCGCAAGGGACCTTTGCGCATGACTTTTAAAAGGGTCACGTGACCCAACTTGAAAATCCTGGCCCAAATTAAACTTCTGGATCGGGTTATGTAGACCCGGGCCCGACTTTTCATTTGTCTTTGTAAATTGAGCGCGAGGTGGCCTATTTTTCGATTGCAGCACCTCAGCATAGGATTTCTTTTGGGCCGTTGGATCCCATTCACATTTTTTCAAAAAATCTCCCTTAAATGGCCAAGAGTTCTCCTTTAATCTATTGCCCAACTTTTCAGTTTCCATAAACGCCTGGTCAACTTGACCTTTCAGACGGTCCACCCAGCTCTCGCCACATGGCCCCCAACAGTCCACGTCATCATCTTCTTCTACCTCCGAACTGTTCCATAGCCTTGCTTCAACTTCCGACGCCAACCACACCTTTCTCCAACAGTCATCCATGAAGATGTCCAGACTTCTTGGGATTTTTTCCAATCTTACACCTGCAACTTTAATCTTTGCCGCATGAAGGTTTTGCATGCAAAAACCTTCCAAGACCCCACCACAGGCCACTGCTATCTTATGGAATATGTGCTCCTGCCAGAGGTTGAAGGGTAAACTTAACTATGGTCTTCTGCGAGATATTCAGTTCGTTACAGGAGGGCGATCAATTTTCCACTGCAATCTGGCCAAGTTTGGTTTCAAGGACTCTGCTCACAGTCTGAAGTTCGGCCATGTCAAGTATTGTCTTATTCTTTTCAAATGGGATGAGGGTGATTTTCTCCTTTGGCTGAAGCGTCTCCAGTAGGATTTGCAATACTTCTTCCCAATCCTTAACCTCTGTTTTCACTTTCACAACTTTCCTCTTAAAGCAGTCCCCATTCCTTCCATCCCATATATTTTTGAACTCGTATCTGTTGAAAGTACTGTTATAGGTGTAATCTTTTTAGTTTGCTTTTGCTGGTTTTTTTTTTCCCAGTTTGGCTCACTTACCTCCCCAGATTTTTGTTCTTTTTTCAAAGTTTGCTCTTCAGTTTTCGAGAACTCCCATTTATTCTGGTTGAAATCATCAAGTGCACCTGTGACCATCTTCCACCCCTGTTTAGCTTGTCCCTCTGGAAGGCATACTAGCTGTTTTCTCCCTTTGCCAAAGAACTCTGTTAGTAAAATAAATCCTCCATTTCTATTCCTTCTATTTTCTACTGTGAATCTCTTCCCATTGTTTGTCGTTTCATTTCCCCACCCTTGTATTCTTTCTGCAAATAGAAGACCATCTACGAAACCTTTAAATCAGTCCACTACTTCTGATTCCATTATGATAGTTGCTCGTCGGTCTTCCCTAATTTTCAATAGCTTCTTCCCTCTGCTTGTTATTTCCTCCATAAGGATCTTCTTCTTCTCTAACTGAAGTATTCTTCTCCATTTTGTTGCCTGAACAAAACTCTCCATTTCTCCTGAACTTCACTGCACCTTCTTATCAAGTGTGTTCTTCAGCTACGAGGTACCATCAGTCCTCCATTAGTGGACCGGAAGACATCATCCTTCTCATTTTGGTTTCATAAACAAAGGAACTACTTTTGAAAAATAAAAACAAAAGAAGAAAATCATAGGTACAACTTATACTATACCGAATTACCTATTTAATCTCAAATACAAGGTTAAACCATTAGAACATTGGAATGAAGTTACCTTCAAATAAAACTTTTCTGTTTTTGTAATTTGTACTTGATATTGATTCTCAATTATCACAACTTGAATTTGTTGAACACCTCTGAATTGTAGATATTAACTCTTATCTGGTTTATCAACAAACATGATTGTATAGAAGTTACTAATTTGTATGATTCTCAGCTGCTTGCAGAGGCTACGAAACTAATTTGCGGTTCTGTGAAGAGTGATAATGAAATTTGGACTATGGACTACAAAAGCTCCAATGCTATTGGATCTTCTGAAACAGTAATGTTGAATGGCAGTAATATCCCCGAGTGGGCAAAGCTCCTTGAGCCTGTCAGAAAGTTACCCACAAATGTTGGAACCAGGATTAGAAAGTGTATTTATGATGCTTTGGAGAAAGACCCACCAGAATGGGCAAAGAAGATCTTGGAGCATTCAATCAGTAAGGATGTTTACAAGGGCAATGCATCAGGACCTACCAAGGTGCTTCCTTATGGTGAAATTTATATTCTTCAGTACAATTTACAAAAACTATTTCATACCAATAAATGCTGAAGTGTATATTTCATTTAGTGTGGTACTTGTTGATATATTCTCTGGCTGATTTCTGGTGCGTTTGCTTTGCATGTCATACATTGAACCTTGATTGCCAGTTGTCCTTACAACCACACATTCTGGAATTTCCCATGCATGCATTTTCCTTACAATTTATGGCTACTCTGGTTTTATTGGAACAATTCTTCTTCTTCTTCTTCAACAACAACAACAACAACAACAAAAAACTAAAAAAGGAAAAAAATTCTTAACATGCCATGTAAAAGAGACAATTTAATTGCCAGGTTCACCCTGGTGTTTCTAAAACGGTAAATACCTTGAGGGTGAATTTGATTGGGAAAAGATAAACAATATAGCATAACCTTCTAATATTTCACTAAGTTTTGTACCTTACTAGAAAATTTTGAGCATTTAGAGGCAATCTTCTTTGAGGGCTATCAATGTTCAACAGCTTGGTCCGTCAACATGGCTCTCCCTGCATGACACATTAGTTCATCCAGCATGGTTCTATTACATAGAGTCTCTGAACTAGTGTGTCATACGTTAGTTTACCTAGAATCAGATTGTACCACCTTTAATTGGTAGGATAGGTTAGGTTAAGAAGGCTCTCAAGGCTTAACAACAAGAACTGCATGTTTATCCAAAAATTGTGATAAGTTTCAAATTAGGGAAAATAGATCTTGAGTTGGAAGTTTACAATGAAAAATTTTAGGTAGGTTTAGTTTAGACTAGAGTTATAGGTGGCAACTAAATCACAAAATTACAAAAAATAATCTGCTTTGTGGAGATGTGATTCAGGATCTTATGATTTATGATATGATTCACAGTTTGAGTTGTGAATTCTTAAGGATCTATTCAAATATTGTGCCTGAATCCTTTTCTGCTAAAATATTACAATTATTGTTTGAATCCTACAATTTGTTTTGTGAATCTTTCAAATCAAATCAATGAAGACATACTTCTCTACTTCGTTATTTCTTTGTTTTGTTTAATTTTTTCAAGGGGATTTTGTTTTAATACCCTTAGTAGAATATGGTTTATTTTGGATATTTAAGACCTATTTTAAAACCATATTGAGCTTACTTTGCATTGTATGTTTGTTTTTTTTTTTTGATAAATGAATGGTAATTTATTCAAAGATAATAAAGTGATGTTACAAAACAGACTGCCCGAGGAGAGACACGAGCTAGTTCCTCTGCTCAACAACAACAAAGTATTACTTTAGGCTCAGAAAAAAAATTACAGAGCTGCCCAGAATAGAAGTTCCCTTGATACCCCTTGCTTTAGCTAACCCATCCGCTATGTCATTAACTGTTCTACCCACCCACTGAGAATTAACAATCATGTTCCTTGAAAACCACTTAACTTTTCTCATAATGTCCCTGTAGCACCAAATAACTGAATCTGGATTTTTTAACCAACCCACAACAACTTTGGAATCTCCTTCAATAAGCAAATTCTGAACTCCTAACTGATCTGCAATCTGAATACCTTGTACCGCCACTAGAAGCTCAGCTCTAATAGAGTCTCCTATACCCACAGAGCCGGAAAATAAAGCTAAGATATTGTGTCTTTATCTCTCAGCACCCCTCCTATTCTTGAAGGGCCTGGATTACCTTGGCTGGTACCATCAAAATTCAGCTTTGTCCAGCCTTCAGAAGGGGGCACCCACACTGCTGGTACCCTGCTCTTCTTTGTACTGCTCCTAGCCACAACTATCCAATTCCTCCATGTGTCATCAAAGGAGTATATTTTAAAGGATTCCAAAGATCTAAGCCAATGGATTGTCCTGGTCAAAATGCAGTCCTTTACGTTCTGAATATTTCTCTCATTCTCTTGGAAAATCCTTGCATTTCTTTCTTCCCAAATTGTCCACAGAGCAGCAGCTCTAATGCATCTCCACATTGTTTTACCAATTTTTGTGGGCCACACAAAGGAGGGGTCAAAGAGCTGATCTACAGTTGTAGCCAAATTCCACCTGCACCCAAACATGGCAAAGATCCAGCTCCAAATAGCATCAGAAAAGGAATAGGTTAAAAGTAAGTGAAAGCAATTCTCACCATTAACCCTGCAAAGTACACACCAGTTAGGAGACAAGCACATGGAAGGCCTTCTCTTCTGCAGTAGGTCTGAAGTGTTGATTTTCCTATAGAACACCTCCCAGCAGAAAATTATTATTTTAGGAGGTACAGGTGTAGACCAGATCTCCTTAGCTGGAAAACCCAATTGTTCCAAGGAAGAGCAAAGGGACTTATAAAAGGAGGCACACGTGAAGTAACCTTTTGGATTAGGGGACCAAATTCTTACATCAGATCTGAGAGGGTCCAGACAGACACTTCCAAGTAGTGACAAGAGGTCTGAAACACAAGAAAGCTCATGATCCCTCAAGCCCCGACGAAACCCAAAGTCCCAATTCAGAGAGGAAGGAGAAATAGAAGTTGGAAGAAAGTGTGAGATTGCTTTATTCTTGTAACAAGAAAGGGAATAAAGAGAAGGGAAACTGTCCTTAAGGGCAGAWTTGCYCAYCCAGATGTCTTCCCAAAATAAAACAGAAGAACCAGAATTGACATCATACCTGATAAAGTTGAGAAAAAAAGGGAGGATACTCTGAATTGCTTTCCAAGGAGTTGCCAAAGTGGCTCGACGTGATACACCAACATCCCATCCATTTTCCGAACTGCCATGTATACTCTCTATCACCTCATACCACAGTCTCTTCTGTTCTAAGGGCCACCTCCACAACCATTTGCCTAAGAGAGCATTAATCTTCAAAACTAAATTCCCTAACCCCAGCCCACCCTCCTCTTTCTTCCTGCATACTATTTCCCAGTTTATTAAATGATCCTTTTTATCCTCCCCTGGCTCCCAAAGAAAAATTCTCATTAATTTCTCCAACTTCTTGGCCTCCCTAACGGGAATCCTGAACATAAAGAAGTAGTATACCAGTAGATTTGCTAAGGAAGCTTTCAGTAAGGTTATTCTACCCCCTAATGAGATGTAGTTCCTTTTCCATGAGGCTAACCTTTTCTCAAACTTTTCTAAAACCGGGGCCCAAAAGCTGCTCTCTTKWGGGTTGGCTCCTAGAGGGAGACCTAAATACTGTAAGGGTCAGGAGGAAATGTGACAACCTAGACACTCAGCCACAGACTCAATAGCCCTCTCATCCAAATTCACACCCACCACACAACTCTTATCCAAGTTTATTTTCAGATTTGAAACTCTCTCAAAGTGTTTTATCAGAGACTTAAGATTCCTGACTGTTCTCCTATAACCCCCTTCAGAAAAGGTTATTAGGTCATCAGAAAACTGTAAGTGGGTCACCTTGATTCCACTTCTTCCTATCTTCCAAATCCAACCTCTCACTACTACTCCTTCCAAGTCTGCCTTAGAAATCAAACCGCTGAACACATCTGCAACTAGGGTGAAAAGGAAAGGGGAAAGGGGGTCACCTTGCCTTAATCCTCTAACAGCTAGGAAGAAATCCTTAACTACCCCATTAACCAAGACCGAAAAATGGCAAGAAGTTATGCAGCCCTTTATCCAATTACACCATCTAGCTCCAAACCCACAACACCCTAGGACCTCTAATAAAAAACTCCAATCCACCAAATCATAGGCCTTTTCTCATTAGCTATTAGGATCTGATCTGTTATTTGTCTCCCTTGCACAAATGCTCCTTGGGCTTGACTAATGATGGAGGGTAGCACTACTTTAATCCTCAAAGATAACACTTTAGCCAGGATTTTGTAAATGTTAGTCAACAAGCTGATCGGCCTAAAATCTTTAGGATTTTTTGCTTCTTTCTTCTTAGGGATTAGAGCTATGAAAGTAGCATTGACTCCCGGGCTTACTTTGTTGTTGTCCTCAAATTCCTTAAACACAGCACAAAGATCTTCTCTTACCACAATCCAACAGTCTTGATAAAAAGCCATGGTGAATCCATCTGGCCCAGGAGCTTTGGATCTGTCCATAGAAAAAACTACTTGCCTAATTTCCTCTTCTTCAAAGTTTGCATTGTATGTTTGTTAAAAAACCATTGTGTGGATTAATTGATTTTCACTCAAAATTGATTATATTGTCTCAGGCTTCTGGTTGAAACCTGAGATGATAGGATTCATGATTCAATTTTACTCACATTCTTTATGATTAATGATATGATTATTGATTGGATTGTTTTGATGAAATTTGGTTGGATGAAGCTGATAAAGACCCATGTACTGTGACCTAATATGAAGGCATTTAGAGGTGGTTTGGCACAAAAGGATGAAAATTACAAAATTGGGAAATTCTACATATTAAGCAAGCAATGAAAGAATGTATTTTGGGACAAATATTAGGTCTTTATGGATGCTGAATGGGTGCTAGTAAAGCCTTTTACATGGTCCCTGAAGGCTGATTGGTGCTAGAAATTCGCTCAAATATCAATAATGATGTTTTTACAAAACTACACATACAATAGTCTCTAGGGTCACCCAACCTCCTTAAACTAAGAAAAGTCAGAATCTAATAAATATTCAGAAATTTCCAGCTTTGACTCTTTGGCTCCTGCATCACACCCCCTCTCTTGGTAGTATGTTCAACCACTGTTGATGAGTGGGAGGACTGTGAGTTTATTTATTTATTTAGTTTGGAGGAGGGGGTTTTAATCCCCTTGAATGAAGGCTTTGCCAGTGGCAAAGACACATCTGTTGAGGATGCTGGTTCAAGTGCCTGATGGTGCTGGAGAAGGCCCCTATGTGGCTACAGAAACTATAGGAACCAGAGTTAAAATGTTGAACATAAACTTATGGCTTTGGCTCTTATTTTTTCAATGTTTGAATATCCGGTTATTTCCTGGATTTGTTTGATATCTTCTAAAATGCACTTTGTGCCATGTTCCAGTGAAAGTTTGACTTCTTTTACATGTTATAATTGTTTTTTTTTTCTTTTCCTTTTGGATTATTGATTTCCTTACACTGAAACTGTTGTTGAACTTGGGTGTTTTTTGGTTGATTGGGTACAGAAAGCTGTTCTCTCAGTGCTGGCAGATGTGTATGGTGAAAATCTGCAGCAGAAACCTGACAAGGGAAGAAAGGGAAAGAGTATTAATGTGTCAGAGATTATTATGAAACAATGTCGTAGTGTGTTACGCCGTGCTGCTGCAGCAGATGATGAAAGAGTTTTCTGTAATTTGCTGGGAGCAACACTGTTGAGTCCTAATGATAATGAAGATGATGGTATTCTTGGATCTCCTGCCATGGTATCTCGGCCTTTGGATTTTAGAACCATTGATCTAAGGCTTGCTGCTGGGGCCTATGGTGGATCACATGAAGCTTTCCTTGAAGATGTTCATGAGGTATATTCCCTTTTCCTGTTTTCATCAAATTTATTGCTGCACAAGATTTTCTCCAGGATCTTCTTTAACCTTGCAGTTCAACCACTTGACTGAGTTTGCCATGTTGGTTGTCTTACCATTGTCTGTAAACAACCCCACCAGGTTCTTTAAGTTTGGGTTTGTCAAGCTTAGAGTTCATTGTTGGTGGCCTTACCTTACCATCTCCATTGAGTCTATTTACTGTTACAGCAAACAGCAGGCAGCTGACCACTCAGGGACTGATGAAACAGTCCAAAAACTCAAAAAAAAAGGATGCTAATTATCCACTGGAAAAGATTCCAGAAAATGAAGTAGTGCTCCAAAATCGTGAAATCACTTCAAACCTAAAGGAAAATATACTGCTAATCAAGCATTCCATAATTCATTCAGGAAAAAAAAGAAATCCAGAGTGCAGTCTAGGGTTTGAGATATCATAAACTGATTTTCTTCTAATTTTGGAGTAGAAAATCCCAACAAATCTTCATAAATCAAGTGCTATCTGCTCGTAAAATCTCCTTAATTTCCAGGATGTGTGTATATATGATTGTTGATGTCATCAGTCTGTAGAGATGACACCAGCAGGTTATCATTGGTGATGAGACAGCAGCAGGTACTGTGCTTTGATACCATGATGCTTTATATGACCATACTTGTGTGTATGTGGTGTACGAGGGTTGGCCAATGAATTCATGTGACCTTCAAACTTTTTATATTTACTAGGTCTGGAGAAAAAAAATATACACCCCTCTATGAGAATTAATGACAGATCTGTATTGAATACACAAAAATCCAATTATACCCCTATAACTCAATAGCTCAATGGACCTTATTTCAAACTTTGGAATTCCTAGTTGAAAATCCTACTTTAGCTCTGGAGTGCTAGGTTTAAACTTTGTCCACAAGCTTATTCTATACACAGACATATTGGCTGCTCTGTGAGTTAAGGAGAAGGTCCAATATGCTTTCCTCCTAACCTATCTCCTAATTGGAACTATCAATTTATATATTTTGTAGGATTTAATATCAATATAAGATTGCTATTGATGCTAAAAGTGTATGGTTTCTATTTATAATGGGAGGAAATTATTATATAGCATGGTGTTTACAATTGAGCTAGCTCATTGTTGCTCCCCTACAACTCCTGATAGGCTCCTGATGCTAAATAGTGATGTGATAAACTATTTGATAGGTTGGTCTTGGTCATGGACTAATGGGAGATTTTTTATAGATATTTCTGTATCCTTTATTTAAAAAGATTCTGGGGGTAGATTTCTGTGATTTTAGCTATTTTTCACAAGGTTGATGTTTGAATATGGCTTGTGGTTGTTTATTTTGATCTTGAGCTGAAAAGTGGATTTGTGACCTGATATGGCAGGTTTTGCATAATATACGCACTGCTTATGGGGACCGCCCTGATTTGATGCAGTTGGCTGAAGCATTATCCCGAAATTTTGAATCATTGTATAAACAGGAGGTCTGTAACTTATAGATTTTCTTCTCTTTTACTGCTTATACAACGAAATTCAGTACTAAGCCACTAACCGTCATGTTATGATATTTCATGTCATCTTGCTTTATCTCTCCATCAGTCATCCATGAATAGAAATTTAGAATAGCACACCCATTCATTGTGCAAGTTTTAGCTCTCATCTTACAACAGTTCATCTGTCTCAAATGAGTTACAAATCTATTAAAGAAATTAAATAATTCTTCATCTTGAGAAGGGTGACCATTAACATATCAAGAAATTTCACCAATTATATTGAGGTATACTGTACATACATATGTACGAAAATGCAGTCTTACTATTTGGTTGGCTTATTACTTGGTGGAGTGGATTATGTGGTTTCCTTTGTCTGGCCCATGGACATACATCACTTAACTTCATTGGTCCATTCACAATCTTGTCAGTTCTATTTTCACTGGTCTGCTTTTAGTTGAATATAGTAGCAAATTTTAAAGCATTTAACCATTTTTTTCACCTATGAATCAAAGGATATTTATGTAAACCAGGATTTGTCCTTGTCTCCATATATCAATGTTGTTCCATCTAGTTTTACTCATAACCTCAAATCGTTGTCTATATCTGTGTGTGTCATTTCATTATTTGCTTACTTGTGAGTAACCATGGACTTCTCTATATGATACAGGTTCTCTCCCTTGTCCAGAAATGTGCAGAAATTGCAAATGCAGAAGGTTTAAGTACAGAAGGAAAGAAAGAATTGGATGATATTCTTGTGTCTGCAAGTGAGATTCCTAAAGCGCCTTGGGATGAGGGTGTATGTAAAGTATGTGGCATTGATAAAGATGATGACAGTGTCTTGTTATGTGACACTTGCGATTCAGAGTACCATACTTATTGTCTGAACCCTCCACTTGTAAGGATTCCTGAAGGAAACTGGTATTGTCCTTCTTGTCTTGCTAGTCAATGTAAGACCCAAGATTCATCACAACGTGCCCAGGCAACCAGCCAGCAACGATGGAAGAGGTATCAGGGAGAGGATACTCCCCTTTTCTCAGATACGCTGATTCATTTAGCAGATTTGATGGAAGAAAAAGAGTACTGGGACCTCAGTGTGGAGGAGGTTTGTCCTTAGTAACCTTATGCTTGGTGCATTTTACATTATGATGTTGATCTTTTTGAAGTTTCTCTTGTCCTTTTCAGGCTTATCTTATCCATGTCTCTTTGGTGCATATGCCCACTACTTTAGTGCCAAGATATGTTACATCATTTTTATGCACTGTGTCAAATGTAGGACCACACTGTTGTCTTCTTTTCATGCAAATCTAGTGATGTTATAATGCTCTCAGATCGTATTATGGTCATAATTGTTATTCTGTTCCCACCATCTTACTATTAAAACATCTTGCCCTGGCATAGATATCTCTGTTACAATGGCTTGAAAATTCCCTCTATTTCATTTTGGTCTTGTCCATATACATGATCGATATCCTTTGTATCTTTACCATTTTTTTATAGGTCTTTGTAGCTTTATTTGTAGCTGATGATCCAGCAGTAATGCAGGCAGGCATAATTCCCAACGAAAGTGTTGCCTGCAGATCACAGTTGCAAGAAAACCTGGGGGGAAGGGGTGACAATGGTTCCAATAGAAGGGGGATTCCACCTCCATGCACAGACTCCAAGAGTTTTTTTAAGAAACTGCTTCATTCCTCCATTGGTTCACTAACTTCAAAATCAGAGAGAATGCAACTATTTGGAGAGGGGTTCTCTTCACAAAGAAACCTTAGCCCTAGCTTGCTACTCAAGCAACCTAATAAGATGAAGAAGCTCTAAGCAAAGTAGAAATGCACAAAATATCTCACCTTCTTGCTGAAATTCATTAGCTGTCATCCCTGCTGAACTGCACCTTTTGATGGATTCCCCAGGAAATCAATCAAACTGCTGATGTTTTAGCTTGGGAAGGGATTTTTTTTGTATAGTGCTAACACTTTRCCATCTTAGTTGATCCAGGCCTTTCTTTTTTGTTTTCCTGGCCTATTTGTACATCTGTTATGTACCCCCCCCCCCCCTTGAATAAAGTTATCTTTCTCTTAAAAAAAAAAAAAAGAAATGCACAAAATATCTCGTGATCATCTTCTTGAATATTCTTTCATTGTCTTTCAAGGTTCTTGTAGCATTGGGCTAAAAAATTTCCTGAGAAGGTTCATTGGCCTTAAAGCATTGGGATTTGCCCCAAGAGGTCTAGGCCGCTAGAGAGATTATTGGACCTGCCTAGGCTGAACTGAACATTATTCTTCCCTGACACCCTTTTCTAAGGTTGTCTTGTTGATGGAACTGGTGTACCTTTTTCAGGGCCAAATTCTTTTTTTTT